CATTTTAACAACTCTGCATTCCCCCTCACCATGCTTGCTGACTTTGACATCATATTTTATATCTTTATGTTTTGTGTATCCTTTAACTACATGTTGTGGATATAGATGATTTTATTACCTTTGTCTTTTAACCTTACTTGTACCTTTATATATTGTTGATTTACTGCCTTTACTGTATATTTGCCTTTACCAATGAGACTTTTAATTTTGTAGTTGACTTGTAAGTTTTTATATTTCTAGTTGTGGCTTTTTCTTGTTTACCTAGAAAAGTCCATTTAACATTTCTAATAAAACTGGTTTAATGGTTTAGTGGTGCTGAACAAGCTTTTGCTTGTCTATGGAACTTTCAATCACTTCATCAAATCTGAATGAAATACTTTCCAGGTAGAGTATTCTTGGTTGTAGGTTTTCCCCATTCACCACTTTAAATATATCATGCCACTTCCTTCTGGCTGCAGTTTCTGCTCCTATTTGGGCTATGTGGGAGTTTCTGCTTTAGTGGGCTGACTACTGCGGGTGGTCTGGTAGGTGTAGCTGATCCCTGGTTTGGTTACTTGCCGTGCCTTGCCTTTTGTGGAGGCTCTTGGCCACTGGAGGGCAGGGTTGGGTCACAAGGCCGCTGGCTGCATTGCCCCAGGAGGTCCCAGTGTAGTGCTGGTCTACTGCTGGGCAGAGTTGGGTTCTGGAGTGGGTGGATGTGGTGCTGGCAGTCCCAGATCTAATGTTGGATTGCTGGTGGGTAGGGTTGGTTCTTGGTGTGGCTGGCTGTTGGGTTCAGGGTGTCCTGAATTTGGTGTTGACCAGCTGGTGAGTGAGGTATATCCTACGGCAGCTGGCTGAGGTGTCCAAGTTGTCTTGGATCTGATGTTTACCTTCCATTGGGCAGGACTTGGGCCTGGGGCTGGGGGGGTCCCAAGGCCAATAGAGCTGGCTCACTGGTGGGTGGAATCAGGTTTCTGAGCCTCAATCTGTAGGGCCCTGAAGGGCTAAGAGCTGGAGTAGGTCCACTGGTGAGAAGGCTGACATGGCTGGCTGAAGGGTCTTTGTGTGTTCCAAGCTGGTGTTGGCTTGCTGGTGGGTGAGTCCAGATCTTTGGGTGTCTGGCTGAGGGTCTGCAGTAGTCCTGGGGCTGGTGTCTACCCATTGGTGAGTGAGGCTGGTCCTGGGGCTACTGTTGGCTAACTGATGAGTGGAACTGGGTCCCAGGGTCTCTGGCTACAGAGTCCTAGAGTCCTGGGGCTAGTGCCAGTGTGCTGGTGTGCAGGCCTGGGTCTAGGGTCCTCTGGTGGACAGGACTGGTCCTGGGGCAGCTGTGGGCTGAGGGGTGCAGCAGGCCTACTGGTGAGTGGAGTTCTGTTTCTGCCCAGCTAGTTGCTTGGCCTAAGGTGTCCCAGTACTGGGGCCTACAGGCTGATGTGTGGCACAAGGTCCTGGCACTAGTAAGCTAGAGGCAGGATTCCAAAATGGTGCTTGCCAGCATCAATATCCACATGGCAGAATGAGCTCCACAAAGTGGCTGCTGCCACTGTCTATGTCCCTGGGGCAAGTCCCAGCTGCCTTCTGCCTCTCCAAAAGGCTCTCCAAGATCAGCAGATGGGTATAACCCAGGATCCTTTCAAATTACTGCTTCTGTTCTGGTTCTGTGTGCGCCTTGTAGGAGTGGAATCTCTAGCTCCTATTGCTCTCTGCCTCTCCTGAAAGCAAGCTCCACTGTCCTTCAAAGCCAAATATTCTTATGAAATTGTCTTCCTGCTGCAGAACCCCCAGGCTAGGGAGCCCAGTTTGGGTCTTGAACCCTTTGCTCCTTTGGGAGTGCTGCAATTGTAATTATCCTTCCATTTGTGGGTTGCCCACCTGTGGATATGGGTCTTGACTGTATCACCTCTCCACCCCTCTACCTGTCTCATGGTGGTTCTTTGTTTATATCTTTAGCTTCTACTAGACTTCTGATTTTTTTCTCATCAATAGTTTATCTCTATGAGTAGTTGTAATTTTGGTGTGCCTGTGGGAGAAGGCAAGCTCAGGGTCTTCATACCCTTCCATCATGGCCATTCCTCTTAGCAATTTTAGTTTGTCTCTCACCTCTGTGGTTTGTGATAAAAATTAGCTGTTAATGTCATTGAAAATCTTTTGTATATAAGAGTTCCTGTCTTTTGCTACTTTTAAGATTCTCTTTGTCTTTGATTATGTTTGATTATTATGTGTCTTTGTGTGGATCTTTTTGTGTTTATTCTACATAGAGTTTGCTGATTTTTTTATTAGATATGGAGGCTGATGTTTCTCATCAGATTTGGAAAGTTTTCAGTCATTTTTAAAAAAATATTCTTTCTATCCCCTCTCTGTATCCCCTCTCCTTCTGGGGCTTTCATTATGAATATGATGGTGCTCTGATAGTGTTCCACAGGTCTCTGAGATTCTGTTCATTCTTCTTCAGTCTTCTTTTTTCTGTTCCTCAGATGAGCCAACCTCAACTGATCTATCTTCAAGTTCATTGTTTCTATTTTCTGCCTCCTTGAACCAGTTATTGAGCCCCTCTAGTGAATTTTTCATTAGTTAATACACTTCTATAATTCAGAATTTCTATCCACTCCTTTTTTACAATTGTTATCTCTTAACTGATATTTTGTATTAGTGATACATCATTCTTATACTTTCTTTTAATTCTTTAGACATGGTTTCCTTTAGAGTACTTTGCTGGAATCCCAGTCATTCTTTAAAGTTATAATGCTTGAGTTCACATCTTTATTACTCACAGGAAAAGGATCAGGGGATGGATTTTCCCCTCAATATAACTTCCTGTCCCCTAACATAGCAGCAGTGTTTCTCACTGACTCAGAGACTGCTGGGCATCTAATCCTAATACCTTTTATTCACAATGAGTCCTCTGTCTTTTTCAGAGATGACCCCTGAACCAGAGGTAATATATTTGTAGTATCAGTTTCATTTTCCCTTAAAAACTGAGTTTTCTTGCTTCCTTAACCAAGGCAACAGCTCTCAGGTGGGTAGTGGGTTTAGAAGCTAGAATTTAAATAGCGGAAAGGTTTATCTTAAGGGAAGTCAGGGGAAAAAAGATCTCCAACACCTAGAGTCATAGGAAAGAGATGAATATTGATATATGAGGTGGTGGGGGGTGGCGAGTAGCGACAGTCCGTGCCAATAGAGGCTTTTGATTTCCTGAGACAGGAGCTGAGGGAGAAGTTATGAGAGGGGAAGGTAATTTTTATAGTGACAAAAAGAAAAGAGAAGGCTTATTGCCAAAATGCGTTCTATGTGTGCACACAGTGCGTGTGTGTTTGTTCGTGTTGGGGGTGAAGTGTGGCTGTATGTGTACTACCTGGAGGCTGGGTAATGATCTCACTTGAGAGAAGCTAAGCCCAACAGTTCTCCTCTGAGAACAGTATTTGCCCAAGCCCAAGCCCTCGCTCTGGTTTCATTCCCCATCTCTGGTCTGTTTGGCTAATAAAGTGTAATTCTAGGACATTCTAGGTAAAGATCACTACCCCTAAGTTGTAAGGCAAGATACATAGTCCAGAAGACATTAATCATTAAACCAGCAATACCAGGATGCAGGAAGAAATAAAAAACTTCACTTTCAAATGAATTGTTCATATTAAAGCATATGATCTGGTAGTAAAAGCACTTCTTTTCCAGGATTCCAGCAGGAGGAAAACCTTCTCGGGAAGCTGGTATGAGTTCATGTGCATAAAGTGCCAATAAGCAGGTGGCTGGGTTGGCATTTAAAGGAGAAAAATAGAAACCAAGAGCACCAGGAAAGGAGTGCTTTCCCTGTATTTAAAATTGTATATGGAGAGGGGAATTTATAGGAAAATGAAAGTGACCTGTGTCTGTGTTTAATTTTCCCATTCCAGCTGTTTGAGGAGATGGGTTGTAGAGATGTAGATGCCAAGGGGAATGATTTTTAGAAACTTGGCATACCTCTGTAGAGAGCAGTCTTTTCACTAGATCTCATTGTGGATAAACTAGTTTAATGTACATTATGTACATAAATAGCAGGACTTCAAAGACTCATTAGTAACACTCTCAATAGGAGATCTAATTAAGTTTTCTTGCAAGTTAGCAGGTAAGTTTTCAGACCCTGTGTATGAATCACAGGACAGTTACAGAACAATGGGCAGATATGTTTATGATTTTAGACATAAACCTAAGATTCTTTTTTCTTTTATTCTTATTTTTTATTTAAGTGTAGTCAATTTATAATGTTAGTTTCAGGTGTACAGCAAAACAATTCAGTTATACATATCCATGCATATATTTTTTTTTCAGTTTCTTTTCTATTACAGCTCATTACAGGAAATTGAGTATAATTCCTTGGGTGTAGTATAATCAGGGATTAGGCAAGCAAGGAAGTCCAAAAATGAAAATCAAATTTTAACAGATCACCAGAGTAATGGCTATTGAGTAATAGGTTTGGGAGGAAAAACCCAACGGCTGCATCTGAGTTCCAGAGTTTCAGGTAGAAAGTGAGATACTCCCAATGTTAGCGAAGAACTTATCAACGAATTTCATGGGCTTCCCACTCCATCCTGCTATCCAGCTCCTCATGCTTTCCCTCTGGGTGAGAGGATCAGGTAACTTTTAATTTTTTCTCTCAAGGGCATTGGCTGGAAATCAATGGCAAATAAATACCAGACTGTAGTCTTTTTACTTTTATCAGGTTAGATAGAGGATTATGTTTGGGTCTGCATGTTAATCATGTACATATCTGAGTTGTTGGCAATTAGCAAACAGTTGAAGCTGAGCATATTTGAAATAGTGACTTTGTAAACAGAGAATGAAAGAAATGTAATGAGTCCTGCTTCGGAAGTGAGCCCAAGTCTCATAAACTAGAGAGCCAGAAACCTGCTGGAGGCAAATGAGCTCTTTGCAGGTTAGTTTGTTTTGCAGTATTCTTTGCAGCCCATTTGCCTTTTAGGTTTTATTTGTTTTGAGGCTTTTCTTGGTCAAAAAATTTTTCATTTTTATGCTGTCAAATCTGTTGGGATTTTTTTTGTGGGCTTACTTGTCATGACAAACTGAGGTTCACCTGAAACACATTAAAAATTTAGTAAATATTTCAAGTCTTGTTATTTTCTAGTCATTTAAAATAATTTAACTCAAATCCATCTAATATATTTAACACAGATCCATCTAAAACCAGTCTGGTTCTTGGTCAAGGCAATAACTAATGTTCTATAGAAATTCAATAGAGAAAAAAAACTCATAGTGGCTTCTAGTTAAGAATTTTTTTTTCCTGGGGCAAGTATCATCTGAGTTTAGTTAGATGGTTCAATCAAAATTTGAATGTGGGATGATATATGCTGAGGACAAAAAGTGTGAGAGGTAGAGGAAACCATTATGTTACTTCTCCTTAATTTACTTCTGCATCTAAAATGCAAAAATGGGTCAATAAAAAATGTTTAAAAAAATAAAATAAAAGGCAAAAATGGGAAAGATTGGTAGTGTCATCAAGTAACTCAGAATCTTGTAAGGGAGACAAGCATGTGAAAAAGTAATGATGAAACTGTGCAGTAAGCACAATTATAGAAATTGTTATGGAAATAGTGATAGCTTGTTAACTCTTCTATATTGCTATTTTTTTTACTTCCTTATGTATTATTGGATCTTTCCTTGAGGGTAGGGACTATATCACCCATATAACTGACATTACATCTACATGTTCTTTTTTGATATTCACAATACCCTGTGAGTCAGGGTATACCCTATCAACTCTGATGTCTATATAGGTTACATCTGCAATAAACTTAGCTTTTCAGGTTACAGTCTTTATTACTTGGCATCTTCAGTCTCCTAAATGATTGGGGTTTTTTAGTTGTATACATTAAAGATCACTTTACCTGCTGTAACGCTCAATTCATCTTGACAAATGCATAATGTCACTTATCAACCACTCTGGCTTCACACAGAACAGTTTCGTTGCCCTAAAACTCCCCTGTGCCTCACCCATTCAACCTTCCCCCAACCTCTGAATCCCTGGCCACCACTAGTATTTTTACTGTCTCTGTGGTTTTATCTTTTACAGAATGACATAGACTCATTCAGCATATAGCCTTTCTAGACTGACCACTTTCAGTTAGTAATATGCATTTAAAGTTTATCCATGTCTTTTTGTGGTTTGGTAGCTCATTTCTTTTTATAGGTGAGAAATATTCTATTATATAAATGTAGATCATTTACTCATTCACCTATTGAAGGTATCTTGGCTGCCTTCATTTTTGGTGATTATGAATAAGGCTGCTATAAACATTTCTATGCAGATTTTTGTGTGGATCTAAGTTTGAAAATAAGTTGCATAAATATCTAAGAACACAATTGCTGGATCATACATTAAGTGTATGTTTAATTTTGTAAGAAACTGCCAAACTGTCATGCAAAGCTATACCATTTTACATTCTTATCAACAATAATGAGAATTTCTGTTTTTGGCCATATCCTCACCAACATTTGGTATTATAATTTTTTTAACCATTCTAATAGGTATGTAGTAAAATCTCATTATTGTTTTAATTTGAAATTTCCAGATGACAAGAGATTTTGTGTATTTTTTCATGTGCTTATTCGCCATTTGTATATTTTCTTTGATGAGGTGTCTGTTCAGAATTTTTTGCCTATTTTTAAATTAAGTTGTTTGTTTTGCTATTTTTTGTATATGTTGAATACAAGTCTGCTATAGTCTAAATGTTTACACTTCCTCCCTCAATTCATATATTGAAATCCTAACCCATAAAGGTTATGGTATTAGTAGGTGGGGCTTTTGGGTGGTGATTAGAGCATGAGGGTACAGCCCTGATACATGGGATTACTGCTCTTGTAACAGATCCACAGAGCTTTTTAGTGCCTGTCCATGTGAGGATACAATGAGAAATGTACAGACTGTAAGAGAGCCCTCATCCAGTCATGCTGGCATCCTAACCTTGGACTTCCAGCCTCCAGAACTGTGAGAAGTACATCTCTGTTGTTCATTAGCCACTCCGTCTGTGGTATTTTGTTACAGCAGCCTGAAAGGACTAAGACAAAGTCCTATGTCACATATGTATTCTACAGGTACTTTCTTCCAATCTATGGCTTATCTTTATATTCCCTTTACATTGTTTTTCACAGGACAAAAAATTTTAACTTTCATGAAGTCCAATTCATGAATTTTTTTCCCTTCATGGGTCATACTTTTAGTATTGTATCTAATAACTCATCATCAAACCCAAGGTTAGCTGGATTTCCTCCTATGTTTTCTTCTAGAAGTTTTATAGTTTTGCATTTTTATTGGTCTATAAATCCATTGTGAGTTAATTTTTGTGAAACTCAGTTAGATGTCTATATTAAGTTTTTAGCATATGAATGTTATCAGGGGTTGAATAGTGCCCACTACCCCCTGTTCCCAATTCGTATCTATCTGGAACTTCAGAATGTGATCTAATTTAGAAATAAGGTCGTTGCAGATGAAAGTAAGGCAAAGATCTAAGAATGAAATTATCCTGCGTTAGGGTGGGCTCTGAATCCAATGATGGCATCCTTAAAAAAAGAGGGATGGACATAGAGCCACAGCATAGAACACCATGTGAAGATGGAGGCAGGTATTATAGTGATGCACCTACAAATCAAGGAATTCCAAGGATTATTGGCAACCACAAGAAACTTGGAGAGAAGGAACCAACACTACTGACAATTTGATCTAGGGCTTCTGACCTCTAGATCCATGAAAAAAATACATTTCTATTGTTTTAAGCTACCGAGTGTGTAGTAGTTTGTCATGGCATCCCTGGGAAGGTAATCAGACACCCAGCTCCCCCAGCAGCATCATTTGTTCAAAAGATGATTTTTCCTCCATTGAATTGCTTTTGCATCTTTGCCAAAAATCAGCTGACTGTGTTTGTGTGGGTCCATATCTGGACTTTCTTGTCTGTTCCATTGATCTATTTGTCTGTTCTTTGGACAATACCACACTGTATTGATTACTGCAGTGTTATACTAACTCTTGAAGTTGGGTAGCACCAACCCCCTGACTTTGTTTTTCTCCTTCAGTATTGTGTTATTCTGGGTCTTTTGCTTCTTCATATAAACTTTAGAATCAGTTTATCAATATCCATAAAATAACTTGCTGGAATTTTGATTAGGGTTGCATTTAACTGACAGATCAACTTGGGAAGAACTGATAATATTGAGTTGTCCTATCTGTGAATATGGAATATCTCTCATTAATTTAGTTCTTCTTTGATTTCATTCATCAAAGTTTTGTTGTTTTCCTCATACAGATCATGTATGTATTTTGTTAGATTTATGTCTAAGTATTTCATTCTCATGTTAATGATTTTAGTGCTTTTCTGTATATAGGAAGATGCAAGAATCTGAGGTCACTGAAATTTTTCTTTAGGTATGTGTCTTAACTATCCAGGGCTGATATATCCAGAGCACAGAGTGCTTCCTGTTTTCTCCATCTTGAATTCCCCTCAGATGCACTGTTGGTGGGTGACTGCAGTGGTTAATGGCTTGATCCTTAAAGAACTGGAATGTCAGGCAACTTTTTTTCTTTACAATACTATGTTTGAGTCTGGTTTGGATTCTTGCTTTGTCTCTTCAGACTGTTTTTATTCTTGGCTCATAGCATGCCTTATAATTTTTTGTTACTATCCAGATGTGATACCTCCAGTAATAGGAACTAAGGTAAATAGAGCTTTAGCATGGGTTTTATGTTAATCTGGCTAGGAGTTGGGTCGTGTTGACTCTTACTGTAGGTCTAGGTGTCAAAGGCTTCAAATTCTTGTAGTTCCTTGTTTTTGCTTCCCCTGTTGATTTGAACTTCCCTAAGAACTCCTTATTTATTAAAGCCTGAGACTTGCAACCATTTCAGCTGTAATCCACTATCATATTGGAGCCCTGTTGATGTGGTGTAAAGAGTGAAGGAGGAGAAGTTTTTAAAAATCTTACAGTTAGAGAGACCATCAAAATTCATCAAAACGTACATCTGAAATACATGTAGGCTATTGTACAGGAGCCATATCATAATAAAGGTGTTAAAAATTTAATTTAATTTAATTTAATTTAATTTAAAAGTTTAAAAAAATTGTAAAACAAAGACTATAAAGTACATCTCTTTGGAAATAAGCTCTGGGTTGTTTTCAAAATAAAATCTGTGCAATAAAGAAAAATCTTATGGTTAAACCTCACTCTTTTAGTAGGCCTGTGTCCTTCGGCTGTGACCTTCAAAATTTTTTACCTATTTTTTTCCTCCTTCCCCAACTTAAATGAGACAGGGAAGCTAAAGGAAACTGGAGCGGGGTCATTGTCCTTCCACCCACATGAGATAAGGCTCTGGCAAAATCTTATTTCCTGTAGTAAGTCTTTTTATGGAACATGCGCTGGGCTTGTTTTAAAATGGTGACGTTCCCTTCCTCTTGCTAAAGTTATGAGGTGATTTTTTTGGCATTGTATCATGAGAACTGGTGGAGTTCCAGCTGGTGAAACCTATAAAACCTGGGGTTCTCCCTAAGACTAGGTCCCTGAGGAGTTCATCACCCTCTAGCTAGGTCACACTTAGCCTTCAGAAATTCATCAAAATTATCATTATTCGTCTTATGTTGTTTAAGTTATGTTTCAACTTTCGTATTTAATAAATATTTATTGATTAGGTAGTATATACCAGAAACATTTTCAGAGACTACATATCAGTGGTGAAGAAGATAGAAGAATTTATTTTCTAATGGAGGAAGAGAGGCAAATAAAAAGATAACTATGAAACAGAGAGATAAGTGCTATGATGTGGTAAGTCTAGGGTAGTATGAAAATACATCTCTTAATTTGTCCTGGATTTTATTTTCAGATTATCCACAGAGGATAAAGCACAAAAATAATGAGACAGCTGTATTGGGAGAAAATGTGACAATTTTCTGCAATTTAACAACTCCAGCAGATGTTGTTCAAATTACCTGGCAGAAGATTCAAGATTCTTTGCCACAAAATATTGGCACATATAGCAGTAAATATGGAGAAAAGATTCTTCCACCATATATAGATCGGCTGCACTGTGAGGCCATTGAATTGAATTGTTCATTCATAACTATCCGTGAAGTGACATTTGAAGACGAAGCCTGCTACAAATGCTTATTTAATATTTTCCCACATGGACGCTATGGAGGACAAATCTGCCTTAACATTATAAGTATATAAACGTTTTATGTGGAGTCAAAATCATGGGGATGTGGTCTTTGAAGTTTAAGATCCAGAGAAAGAATTTTAGAAAAGGAACAACAATAATAGAATTCATTCAGGCAAAGTCCTTTATTTTACAGAAGAACAGAACAGGAGCCAATGATGGTCACATGCTTTGCCTATTTCCACACAATGCAAGACCTAGCACAGCTTTTAGGTCTTCAGACTTCTTATCAGACTTTTTGGTACTACACTGCACTGCCTTTAGTCCATTGGATGAATCTCATGAATGGCATTAGGATTTTCACTGGGAAAATAGAGGAGAAAAAAAAAGAGACAGTAGAGGAGAAAGAGGAAAAAAGATGCTAAGAGAATAAGAATTTTCCAATCATCAAATTAACAGACCATTGAAGGGATAGTGATAGTGTCATACTGTTCCCTCATTATGTTTCTATAAATTTAAAGTATTAAGGGTTTATATAATTTAAGTTTAAAGCTGAATGGAAGTAGAGATACCAATTGTCCCTCTCAAACTGGAGGATAGTGGGTGTAGGAGGTAGAATTGGGAGCTTTTGTAAAAATGTGGGGAGAGGTATTTGAGATGGACATGTTTTCAACATTTTATTTTTGTAGAAAAATTTATTGGCGAGTCCACCTCTAACACCATAGAAATCTAGGATGACGTATTTTTATATTAATTTTGTTTCTCTCTCTCTTTCTTTTTTGCCTCAGCTCTATCTGAATTAAGAACTGAACTCCAGTCCAATCTTGACTGTGAAGATTTTCTTAGATTTACTTACTCAGCTGTGGGAAAACCTGCTCCTCAAATATCTCTTTTCCCATTACAAGTCTTGATTAATCCACCAGAGGAATCCCTTGTTCTGAACCCCAATGGCACAGTTACTGTCACTAAAATGTATAACGTCTCCTTAGAGACTGTGAGGTCCCTCAGACTCCAACACCTGATTGTGCACATGGATCATCCTCTGAAGAATGAAAAGAAGATCATTCCTCTGACAGTCAAACAAGAATGTAAGTAGAAGTAATAACCAACAGTGGGGAATATTCACCTTTAAAATTCACTACCACAAGTATTTGTGTGGCCATCTATTTGTAAAACTATAAATCAGGGTAATACACCCACATGGTTAAGAGAATCAAATAATGAAGGTAGGATCTACCCTAGCCCTGCTTCAGGGGTATCTGTTCTTATACTGCAAAACTTAAAAAAAAATTTATTTATTTTTTCTCTTTTTGTTGGGGAGATAATTAGTTTTATTTTTTTTAATGGAGGTACTAGGGATTGAACCCAAGACCTTGTGCATGCTAAGCACACACTCTACTACTGAGCTATACCCTACTTACACGGCAAATTTTTAATTGATCTCCATTACATATTTTCCCCTAAATTTCTGCTACAGTCAATGAAGATTAGGCTCCTTCAACTTTTGTTCCTTTCATAAAGGCCCTTTCCTCTCAATATAGTTCTTTTGCTGCTTAACCTCTGCAACTTTGAACAGTATGGTTAAACCTTTTTTCTTTTTCATTCACCATAGAAAGCCTTTGTTAGCTACCACTTCTGCTTGCCCATCTTCCTTTCAAGCTTTGTCAATGGTATCTTCTGTTTCAAAGCCATAATTCAAAAGAGATAACTTCCCTAAAGAATTTAAATAATAATTCAAATATATGCATTTCTGTAGAATTTAAATAATTAAATATTTCACCTAATAATCTTTTAAAATGAGAACCTTTAATCTCTATATATTCAGTACAAATACTGATGTATTTGGGTTTTAATCCGCCACCTTACTATTTATTATCTGACCAGTTTTATGTCTTTTCTTTCTCTCCTTGAATTCCTGTGGATTAATTATTTATTTTTGTTTCATTTCCCCTCCTCTGTTAGTTGGTTAACTATACATTTCTATACCCATCTTTAAGTGGTTGACTTGGAAATTATGCATCCTTAAAATCCTATCTTATTATCTAATTTTATACTAGCTATTACCTTTTCATCTTTTACAACTGCATTTCCATAGCTTCATTGTCAACAGAGCTCTTGTCATCATGTTCAGAAATTAATGTGCTTTGACCCCAGTTTCTAGGTGTGAGAAAGCCCAGTTTCCTGCCCTCATTACATAGTCTTAAATATATTGTATAGAAATAGAGAAGAGCTCCTGGCTTATCTGCCAGCTAGAGTTTCCATCTCTTCCTCCAGAAGATATCCGCCTCCTGAAGAAAAGTAGACATTCTACTCACATTCTAGCATTTCCCCACACTTTCTGGATACCTTTTTGTTTGAGTAAATACTACAGAATAAGTTTAGATGTCAGTTATGGTGGGTGAATCCTGCTTACCTCTTAATCTATGATAATATCACATCACTATATCACAGATAATGATAGTCATTGTTCTATGGTATTAACTATAAATTAGTCTATTTTTATATTATGTTTTCCATAGGCAATAAAATAATAATTTTTCTCTTAAGTTTATCAGTTCTTTTTATCCAATTTTTGTTAGTTTCAAGGCTCACAAATTTTGTTCTTTGGAGGGCCAATTAACCATACCAGTCACTGTATGTGACTGTCATCATTTGTTTAATTCAGTGGATAACCATTGAAGTCACTCATTAGGAGTTCTTTTAATAGCTGTGTCTGTAATAATATTAGGTTGAACCATGTGATATTGATAATATTTCAATCTTTTTATCTATAAAATTAGTTATTTTATAAGATTAAATCTAATATAATTAGGGAATATCATTTGAGCATTATTAAGACAAGGCTAACAAAGCTTCCTATTATGAAACTTCCACTAACTTTGAGGGCTTTTCCCACTTTTCAATACCTGGGAATTTGATCAGTTCCTCCTTTCAGAGCAAACATGCCAAATTCTCAACTTTATTCCAAATTGCAAAGAGCTGGATTTTCTCTTTTCACCTCCCTTCCAACTTTTCCTTTTGAGTTAGGACAAGAATACATTGGATCTTGTGGCTGAAGGTCCAATGACAAACCAAACAATCTTTACCATTTTCTAGTGTCAAAGAATAATGTACTCTCTCCTTTCTGTTTAAACAAGGGACCCAAGGCAGTTATGCCTTCTCTATATTTTAGAGCAAGTGCTCTCATTCCTTTATAGAAGCCTAGACTTTTGGTGACTATCTTGCCATGAAGTATCCCACTTAAATATCCTAATGAGTTACTAGGAGATGCAAAGAAATGATTCCATGCATCTGATTAAGAAATAACATTTCTCTGGGTTGTCACAGAGCTTCAGACAGTTAAGCCTATAGTTGTGTCATCCTTACCTTCAAAATACTACATACTTTTTAAATGAAGTATAGTTGATTTACAGCATTGTGTTAGTTTCTGGCATACAGCATACAGTCGTACATATATATACATATTCTTTTTCATATTCTTTTTTATTATAGGTTATTAAATCATATTGAATACAGTTCCCTGTGCTATACTTTAAGACTTTGTTATTTATTTATATTATGTGTAGTAGTTTGTATTTGCTAACCCTAAACTCCTAATTTATCCCTTCCCCCCTTTCCCTTTTGGTAACCATAAGTTTGTTTTCTACCTTTGAGTGTGTTTCTGTTTTGTAAATAAATTCATTTGTTTCATTTTTTTAGATTCCACATATAAGTGATATCATGTGATTATTTGTTTTTCACTGTCTGACTTACTTCACTTAGTATGACAATCTCTAGTCCATCCATGTTGCTGCAAATGGCATTATTTCATTCTTTTTTATGGTTAAGTAGTATTTCATTGTATATATTATTGTGCATGAATTCTTTTTAATGGCTGAGTAGTATTTCATAGTGTATATGTATGTGATATATTATAGCTATATATACACACACACACACACACACACACACACACACACACACACACACAAAACTTCTTTATCCATTCATCTATCTATGGACATTTAGATTGCTTCTATGTCTTGGCTATTGTAAACAGTGCTGCTATGAAAATTGGGGTGCATGTATCTTTTCCAATTGCCGTTTTTTCAGGATATATGCCTAGGAGAGGGATTGCTGGATCACATGGTAACTCTATTTTTAGTTTTTTAAGAAATCTCCATACTTTTGTCCATGGTGGCTGCACCAAATAACATTTTCACCAGCAGTGTAGGAGGGTTCCCTTTTCCCCACACCCTCTCCAGCATTTATTGTTTGTGGACTTTTTAACAATGGCTACTCCGACCAGTGTGAAGTGATACCTCATAGCAGTTTTGATTTGCATTTCTCTGATAATTATCTATACTGTGCATCTTTTCATAACATTCCATATATTTTAACTTAAGTCTTAAATCATAGCCTAAGGCATTTTAAGTCTCATCCCTTGACCTTTATTTCTGTATGTGTTTTCAAACTAGTGGGCTACATCTCAGATTTCTGGAAGTTAACAAACACATGTACATATTTTGCTGAAACATACCCTCTTCTTTTAAAGCCTTAGCTTTTTCAAATCACATATTATCAGAAGATGTAATGGCTTAAACAATATATTTCCTCTCTCTCTTTTTCAAATTACCTTGATGATTTCCCCTGAAGGATTTAGGTTTAATGAGTCTAGGGTTTTTGTGTCTCTCCCACTTCAGACTCCAATATGCATGAACAGAGTTGTGACAAATTTCAATATTAAATATGAACTGAAGGATTGACAGACATCACTTGGGCAAATCAAACAAAATTTATTTATCTAAAAAGCATCAAAATATATAGCAAAGGGATTAGCAACATTCTTCAAGGGAGATATCAACTTCTGCAAATCAGCTTAATAATATCAGAGTAGACCAGCTAGCTAGTACTAATCACACTGTAAGTGTTTAGTATTCAGATAATAAAACTTCAAATTCTAGACATTAAAATGAGAGTGAAATATTTTCTTTTTCCAGAATACTCATTGAGAAGGCAACTAGTTTATTACAGATCATTTTAGAAACTAGAGTATAGTACTTCAGCGTATCTTCTGCAGAAAGCACAAGCTAATGACTTTTTCAGAATGTGATTTGATAGAATAGCCTGCAATTGAACTTAAGGTGTTTAATTTTCAGTTTTATATCTTGATAGCTTTCATAAAATTGCTATGGGTGGGTGATAATATTAAATGTCAGTTTTGTAAGAAGATACCCTGTTTTATTAAGATAACTTTACATAATTTATATTTTTGTTTCTTATAATGATGAAAAGGTTAAAATATCTCCATAATTTGTCACATTCACCAAGACCCAAAAAGCATCACTAGCCTTCCATGATGTTGAATCATAAAGTTTACATGAGTGAAGGAGACATCACAGTTTTTGGAAATCTAACAGTTTGCAAATAGGCAACTACAAGATTGTTGGAATGAGCACTTTAGTAAGCAGTCCAGATGGGCTAAACATAACCTTATTTAGGCCTAGGACATCTCATCAATCTCTGAATTAAGCAGTCTCTGGGTTAATCTAAGTAAAGCACAAAATGATGACTAACACAAAATGAGACTATTGTAAAGCATAATACACTCAGGTCAACACAAACCACTCTCTTTCATTATTTTCAACCTCTCCAGGCTATGCAACCTGGTTCAACTCAATGCTTAGAATTAGAACAACTAGTGATTTTCTTAGTGACTCTGGTGGTCATGCTAACAGGCCACAGGATATATCCTACAGTCTTATAATGCTTTTACATGTGATTGACAGCTTGCTCTTTATACGACTTTAGTTTAATCATCCTTCTTCCCTCATAACTTCTAGAGTATTTTTCCATTGCCTTGACCATCCATTGTTATTGATGAGACGTCAAATGTCAATCTGAAAATTGCAATAGTAAATATTATTGTATCTTCTCTTTGGTAACATAGTATCTTCTCTTTATTGTTCGAGTTTTGAAACTTCCTAGTGCTATTTTTAGTTGTCTTTTTTTTTAATCTTTGATGTGATGGGTATTTGGTGAGTTCATTCAATCTGGAGACTCAAATCCTTCAACTCTGAATATTTTCTCATTTCTTTGAGAATTTCCCCCCTGCTCATTTAACATTCTCTTTTGATAAACCTCGATTAAGTGGGCAATAAAACATTTAGATTGAATTTTATATTATTTTATTATTTAATATTCACATCTATTTTTCTTTTCTTTAAGCTATCTGGGAGATTTTCTAAAATTTGTCTTCAAACTCTTTCATTCAATTTTCCTTCTTTTGACAATCAGGTTTATAATTATGAACTGCCTTTACAATTTAAAATTAATTTCACAAATTAAAGTTATTTTAAATCATCCCGTTTGTTATCTCCACCAATACCCTCCTCACCTCCACTGCCATCATTTTAATTTAATGTTTCTTTTACTCAGTATTTCTCACTTTGATTACAGTCTACCTTTAAAGTCCTCTGAGCCTTGACTGAAAGTTTACAGACTCTTTATTTGGTTTATTGTGGCTTGTGAAGTGATTAATTTTCCTTAAAGAAAAAGATCCAACAATCCTGTAGTTGGCTGCTGAAGAGAACAGGCAGCAATTAGCCAGGAGACTCTAAAAGCCAGAATGTGGAGGCCTTTTACTCTGGTGCCTAGTTATTCCCATATGTTAAGTAAATTACTTTCCCTCCATGTTTTTTGCCTGAGGGGTAAACATTTGTCTGTCCAAAGTTGTGCTTTGGGATATGGAAGTAGATGCTTTTGACTGCAACTTTTATTCTGTGATTCACTCTTCCTCTCTTTATCTTCTGAATCCTGAGCCTTTCCAGGCTCTCCAGGCTCTCTCTGCTCATACAGTCTCCTTTGTACGTAGCCGAGCCTGCAGTGACTTTCATCCTGCACCTTTATAGGCCATTCCTCTATGTTTTTTACATCTTTCATAAGTTTGTTTAAACCTTTTGCTAATGAAGATCTCTCTTCTGTTTGTTATTTTTCGTTTAATCATTTTATTTTTGTTACTATTATTTTCATGGAGCCTCAGGAAAGAGGAAAGAGTAGAAATAACTATTTTTGTTATATGTATCTCTTGAAACTGGAGTTAATCAGCATTTTTTTGTTTCCTAGTAAATTTCCCCAAATTATGAGAATGAATTATGCCAATTGAATAGCACATGTATCACCCATCAAACTATTGGGTAGATTATTCTGGTTAATTTCACTTCTCACTGAGATATAAATGTCTGTAAAAAGTAACATCAATTCAGAAGAGGACTTCTCCTTGCTTAGTTTTGTAACAAGTATTTGTGGTATAAATCAGTGATTCTGCTGAAACCTTGTATAGTTTTTTCCCCTGTGTTCTGTTGCCGTTGACTTCAGAGCTGTGTTCATATTTTCATGCCAAATTCTTCCCATTCAGCTTCCTCCACCAACTTTGAATGAGCTATGTAGCATCTCATTGAAAAAAGAACATAGTTAAAACTAGAAACTGAGACAAAGTGATAGCTGAACAGTCAAAAATAAATGGCACAACATTCCTCAACTAAAACACATAGACTTTCTAGTAGTATTTCAGGGAAGAAGTAATTGCTAACAAGGATTTCTCCTTTCCTTCAATGGTACTGGAAAATTAAAGCAGCAAATTAAAAAGGAATGAGAGTTTACAATGAACAGAAAAATGACGTCAATCTGACAATCAGAAAGAGGACAAAAACAACCAATCATGAGAAGACCTAAGAATGTAAAATGCACAGTAGTTCATACCATTTAATATAAGTGCAAATTTCCTAAAAGTCTATCCACAAAGTATAGGTTCATTTTTATATTACATTTAAGAAATACCATTGATAATCATAAAAATGGCCTTTGTTAAGTTTAAATTGCAACAAAAGATAACATTGTGTTCAGAAGTCTACATAGAAAGAAATTTCAATGCCTCCATTTTGCCATTTGTACCAAATAACTGTGCTCACCTAGTTGATGTAAACAATTGGAGGGGTGTCCCCAATGTTCATAGCAGCACTATTTACGATAGACAAGAGATGGAAGCAACTTAAATGTCCATCAAAAGGTGATGGGATAGAGAAGTTGTGGTATATATACACAATGGAATACTACCCAGCTATAAAAAAGAATGAAATAATGCCATTTGCAGCAACATGGATCAACCTGGAGATCATCTTCATTCTCAGTGAAGTAAACCAGAAAGAGAAAGAAAAATGCTGTAATATCACTCATGTGGAATCTGAAAAAAGGACATAAATAAACTTATTTACAAGCCAGAAACAGACTCGCATAGAAAACAAACTTATAATTACCAGGGGGAAAGGGAGTGGGAAGGGATAAATTGGGAGTTTGAGATTTGCAGACACTAATTACTATATATAAAATAGATAAACAATGAGTTTTTCCTGTATAGCACAGGAACTATGTTCAATATCTTGTAGTAACCTATAATGAAAAAGAATATGAAAAGGAGTATATATATATATATATATATGTATGACTGAAACATTATGCTGTATATCAGAAACTGACACAACATTGTAAACTGAATATACTTTAATAAAAAAATGAAGAGGTTGAAAAAATATTCCTTTCTTCCCTTTTAGGTTCTTTGGTGAGTCTAATAATTAAAATTGTATGACAGATTAATGGGACAAAAACAAACAAAAGTTTAGTAACATGTATACATGGGAGATACCCAAGAAAACTGAGCAGGTCTTTGAAAGGACTAAAGATATCATGTAAAGTACCATCTTCAGCTAAAGACAAAAGAAAATGGTGGGGTGGGGAGTTAGTTATGGGAGGTCACCAGGAAAAGCACTGTAAACAAGGGTAAGTTTATTATGTAGATTTAAATTGTTGCCTTCTCAATTGATAAGTTTCTAGAGATTAAGGGTCATCCACCTCCTCCTGGAACAAATGGAGATTTCTCTTATATACATGAACATGTCTGTTACAAAAAGGGTAAGTTCTACTTGATTTTCAGTGTTTCTCCTGTGTTTGCAGCTTCTTACAATCAGTCTAAAATAATTTTTATGTCAGAGACATATGTTGGGGTGGCAAATATTGCTCCCCTACATAATCTTTATAAAATGCTTATCACATTGCTTAGACTATTAATCTTAAATACTAATTATTAATATAAATTTATTTTCTGAGGGTATTACAGAATCTTTGGAAATTTCATTTTAGTAATTGAATAATATTTCGTCAAGTGAATGTATTACATTTTACTTAATCATGTTTATGTGATTATATCTAAGTGGATATTTAAATGACTATACCATTTGTTAATTCTTGAGAATGGTAGGATGATAATAAATGTTATCTGTCTTCAATTTGAATGCAGATTAGTATATTCTTTTATAAAATTCAGTATGGCAAGTAATCTAATAGTATCGATTTGAATGTCAACAAGGCAATGGTAAATCAAAGGCATTGCAGTTCAAAGGTACCAAAATGACAGTACAGTGTATAAAAAGAGGTATGGTCCCAAAGAATGTGTTTCTGACTTGTGTTTTTCAGGTTCTGCTCGTTCTTCTTATACTCGGCTGCATATAGTTGGTGTGCTTATAATTTTTCTATGTATTTCACTTATCATCTGTATTGTTCTGAGAAAGAAAAAGTAAGTTTTATTACTACCTGTCCTGATAGAGAAGGTGAGTAAAATCAGGCTAGTTTCAAATCTGGAAAACAATAACCCAAGGGCTCTGGATCATAGAAAGAATCATCATGGAAAACTCTTTTCCATATCCTTGGTGATTTTTGCAGTCAAGGATTTATCCTTATTAAGATGATACCCTACTTGGGATTGTTACAAAGGTAGGCTATTAGTAATCATTCATGCTTTTGGTAAATTGAGTTTAAGATTCTTTCTTGAGGACAGATTTTGACAAGAGAGAGCATATAGACTTCAGACAACTGGTGGGAGGAGGACTACTGGGTGGTAAAAAAGCCTGAGGTTGGAAGTTTGAGATAAATCTACCTGACAGAGCCACAATAAGATGACAGTGGTCCTACTTTACAGGACTAGTATAATGAAATATCCATTCAGTGATTTAACAAATACTTCCTGAGGGTCTATGTATTTCATTGTTCCCGGTGTGAGAGACAGAGACACAACTGAAACAGACAAGTTCTTTGCCATCAGAAGCTAATGTCCCAGTGGGGAGGGGTAGTCAAGAAAAGATAGAAGAAAATACTGGGTAGTGATAAGTACTATTTAGAAAGCAAAGCAGAATGATATAATTGAAAAAGACCATGGGGCTAATTGATGTTGAGTGATCTCTTTGGGGAGATGACATTTAAACTGAGAACTAGGTCAGAAAAAAAGTCATGAATAAAGTTCTTGGCAGAGCATTCCTTGCAAAAAAGGAGTTAGTATAGGTCCTAGAGTGGGAATGAGCTTGGTGTGCCCCAAGAAAAATGAGAAGGTCAGTGTAACCTTTTGAAGTATAGAATAATACTTCAAAAATAGGAACGGGGGCCAGAACAGATAAGGCCCACAGTCCTGGACAGGCATTTGGGCTTTTAACTATCTGCAATATCAATCCATTGAAGTACTTAAAACCAAGGAGTACAAGGAATCAGATTTAAGTACCTGAAAGTTACAGAGATGATAAGGGCCAGAGTTATAAATTTGGGAGTATAGTAGGAAATTTCTCCAGGAAATTTATAAATCATATCAAAACATTATTAAAAATCAGTGATCAAAAGTATTATTGAAAAGATATTTTGTCTGTCAGGAGAGCTTCAATATCCCAATTTTTAATTCAGAGCATGCTCTTACAATGGACTCCATTTGGGGAGGGTTTGGGCTGATTCAACAATGGATCCATTACTGTCATTCTATCTGTAGGTCAGAGAATGTGCTTCAAAACACGCTCCACCTGAGATAACCTAACTGGACACCTGAATGAGCCACACACCCGAATGAGCACAGGTAATTGGAAGATGTGTAATTTTTGTTGTCATTGTATATACTTCAAATTTAAGACAACTAACCTTCCATGTTAAATCTTCCATTTGGTAGCAGCAATCATTATTTTAAAAATAAATGGAAGAAAAAGATTGTTTACATATCCAGTTTCATGAATTACTGCTTTCAGATAAGGTTAGATTAATATTAATGTCTTTAAATGTTTCTACTCATTCCCTGATTCATTGTCTATTCACTTCTCCCACTGTTACCAGTTTAATGACTGCTTTGACTTACGGATATTTTTCTGATTATTAAGTATAAGCATGTCTTATGTATTGTTAACCATTCAGGTTTCCTCTTCTGTAACATTCTTTTTTTTTTAATTGAAGTACAATTCGTTATAATGTGTCAGTTTCTGGTGTACAGCATACTGTCCCAGTCATGCATATACATACATATATTCCTTTTCATACTCTTTCTCATTAAGGGTTATTACAAGATATTGAGTATGGTCCCCTGTGCTATACAGAAGGAATTTTTAGATTCTATTTTTATATATAGTGCCTAACATTTGCAAATCTCAAACTCCCAAATTTATCCTTTCCCACTTCCTTTCATCCAGTAACCATAAGATTGTTTACTATGTCTGCAAGTCTGTTTCTGTAATGTTGTTGTCTACATCTTCATGTGACCTCTGTCTATATTTGCAGAAATTCTTTATATCCTAGATCCCTTATGTACTAGATACTGATTACTTCTCCCTATTTTGCATAACTCCATTAAATTTCTCAGTTTTATCATTAAAAGAAGTCTTTAATGTTTTGATGTTATTAAATCCACACTTTTTCACCCAATAGTTTGAGTTTGGGATCTTATTTAAGAAGTCCTCATCCACCTAAATTCACAAAAATATAATCATATTTATTAGCTTCCTATGTTTTCTATTTTATATATAGGTATTTTAACCTTTGTACATAATGTAAACTTGATATATAGTATTAAATGTTGTTATATAATGATTCAGATTTCCCACCATCAACTTCTATACAATCTGTTCTTCCCTTCTCTTACTTATGAACTCCATTTCCATCTCTCTCAGGTGGAAATTTTGTTCCATTGTTTAATTTTTTGTTTTTTTCATAAATGCATATAGTTTTTATCTTGATGACTTTTTGTTATGTGTTAAAATGTGATAGGGAGAGATTTCCCTCTTTTCTTTCTTAACTTGATATTTCAATTCAGAGACGCACAAGCACACGCATAAGTCATGAACTAAGTTTACTAAGTTCTTTAAAAAATGTGGCTGGAATTTTGGTTAGTCCTACATTGAATTTTTAGATTAATTTAATTTTGGAAGTATCGATATCTTTACAGTGTAATTTGCTCCACCTATAAATATGTCATCCATTTATTCATGGATGCCTTTTAGGAAAATTTAAAAATTTTCTTTCTGCAGGGTTTATGTAATTTTTGTTAAGTTAATTCCCTGGTGCTTTTAATCTGTTCACTATAATGAATGGCATCATTTTTTAAATGAAATTTTCTAGCTGATTATTAGTGGTTTAGGAACAGTTATGGATTTTGAAGTTAACCTGTAGCTGGAAACCTTGCTAAACTCTATTTATTCAAAGCTTTTCTGTTGATCTAACGATTTTCCCTGTAAATAACCATCTGTCTTGCACATAATGACATTTTTGCTTTAGAACATTTCTGAATTTAAAGACCATGTCTAAAATTTATCTAAGTATGATATTTGCTACAGTTTTTGGCTGTTAAGCACATTATCAAGTTTAGGAGATGTTTCATTATTTCCATTTTCTGTGGTTTTATCACATATAGGTTGTTGAACTTAAGAAATAATTTTTTTGTACCTGTTAAGATAATGATACGAATTTTCCAAAGCAGTCCACTAATATGATAAGTTACATTGATAGATTTTCCAGTGCTAAACTATTCTGGGATTTTTTTTTTCCGCTTTATAAGTAAAGCACGACTATACTTTTATTTTTTGGCTTTAAAATAAAGATTACAAATTAGGTTTTGAAATTAACACTAGCCTCAAAGAAAGGGTTTAGTCATTTAGTATTTCTTCTTTTAGAAATATGTACGAGAGCGATTTCCTTAACAACCATCTGGATTTATGGATGTTTTGGTAGTGGAATTCTTTCATTTCAACTGAGTTCCTTTCAAAATTGTTGGCTTATTCAATTTTCAATTTCTCATAATTTTTTATCCTCTTACTTCTATTTTTTAGTTTGTTGTGGTAAGAACATTTAACATGAGCTCCATCCTCTTAACAAAATTTTTTAAGCATATGATGTAGTATTGTTGATTATCAGTACAACGTGGAGCAGATCTCTAGAACTTGTTTGTAAGTTGCTTAACTTATGCCCGTTGATTAGTAACTCCCCATTTCTCTGTCTCCTCAGCCCCTGGCAACTACCATTTCACTCTCTGATTCTATGAATTCGATTATTTTAGGTACTTCACACAAGTGCAATTGTGCGGCGCCTGTCTTTTGTGACTGGCTTATTTTACTTAGCATAGTGCCCTTGAGGTTCAGCTATGTTGTCACATATTGCAGAATTTCCTTCTTTTTAAGGCTGAATAGTATTCCGTTGTTTGTACATACCATGTATCCTTTATCCATTCATCTCTTGATGAATATTTAGGTTGTTTCTACACCTTGGCTAATGTGCATAGTGCTGCAATGAACACAAGGGTGCTAATATCTCTTTTAGATCCTGATTACAATTGTTTTTTTTGCATAAATACCCAGAAGTGGGATTGGATCATATATAGTTCAATTTTAAATTTTTTTGAGAAACCTCCGTGGTGTTTTCCATAGTGGCCATACCATTTTGCATTCCCACCAGCAGCAAACAAGTGTTCCAACTTCTCCACATTCTCATCAACACTTGCTGTGTTTTGTTTTTTGATAATAGCCATGCTGACAGATGCCAGGTGATAGCTCACTGTGGTATTGATCTTCATTACCCTGATGATTAGTGTCATTGAGTAGGTTTTCATATACCTGTTGGCCATTTATATCTTCTTTGAAGAAATATCTGTTCAAATCCTTAGCCTATTTGTTTGTTGGGTTATAGGGCTTTTTTTGCTACTGAGTTTTAGTAATTTTTAAATATATTTTGGTGATAAACCTCATCAGATACATGGTCTGAAATAATTTTTCTCAGGATCTTGTTATCTTTTATTACTAGCACTGATTAATTTGAAAACACACTTGGAAACTTGCCCTAAATAAAATAGAAACTAGTTTTAGAAACTAATTAGGCCAAATGATGTGACTGTAACCGGAAGAAATAAGGCTTAGAACAGTCCCATGTGCAAGCACTTCGGGGCTGCTACGAGACCTCTGAGATTCAGGAGGAGGACAAACCCTGAGAGTGACCAAATGCTGTTACCATCCTAGAGCTACTTGCCTGTGTACCTGTGTTTCCTGTTCCATAACTGGAAAAAACATGAATAGGCTATGGTTTTAAATGTCATTAGTACAGCGAGAAACCAACATTTGCATGCTTGTGATGGGTTTTATGACTCTTAAAGACCTCTGGAAGTATTTCTCTTGTTCTGTAGGTTGGCCCTTATGCTGTTGATTTTTTCCTTCATTGTGCAGAAGTTTTTTAGCTTAATATAGTCCTGCTTGTCTATTTTTGTTTTTGTGGCCTGTACTTTTGGTGTCATTTCCTGAAGTCATTGCCAAGACCAATGTCATGAAGTTTTTTCCCTAGGAGTTTTCTAGGAGTTTAACAGTTTTAACTCTGACATTTAAGTTTTTAATTCATTTTGAGTTTATTTTTCTGTATGGCATAAAATAAAGGTCCAGTTTATCCTTTTGCATGTGGATATCCAGTTTTCACAACATCATTTGTTCAAGAGACAGTCCTTTCCCCATTATGTGTCTTGGCACCTTGTCAAAGATCGGTTGACTGTATAGTGTAGATTTAATTCTGAGTTCTCTATTCTATTCCATTGATCCGTATGTCTCTCTTCATGCTAGTTCCAAGCTATTTTGATTACTTAACTTTGTACTATATTCTGAAATCAAGAAGTGTGATACCTCCAGCTTCATTCTTCTTTCTCAAGGCGGATTTGGCTATTTGTGGGCTTTCTGTGTGTGTTCCATATGGATTATAGAATTGTTTTTCTATTTTAAAAAATGCTATGGGAATTTTGATAGGAATTGCACAAAAAACCTAATGCTACTTCTTAAGGAGCTATAAAAAGAAGCAAAAAACTGAGTCAAGAGATAGGTGAAGGAAGGAAGTTACAAAGATTAAATAAAATAGAAAAAATCAACAAAACTAAGAGTTCATTTTTGAAAAGATAAAATTGATAAACCATTAACTAGACTAACAAAAAAAGAGAAGACTCAAATAAATTAAATAAAAAATGAAAGAAGAGACATTATGACTGATGCACAGAAATAAAAAATATCGTAAGAGACTGCTATGAAAAATTATATGCCAACAAACTGGATAACCTAGAAGAAATAGATAAATTCCTAGTAACAGCTAAATCATGAAGAAGTAGAAAGTCTGAACAGAAATATAACCAGTATGGAGATTGAATCAGTAACCGAAAACCTCTGAACAAAGGGAAGTCCAGGACTAGATGGCTTCACTACAGAATCCCACCAAGCATTTAAACAAGAATTATTACTAGGGCTTCTCAAGCTCTTTCAAGAAATTGAGAAGGAGGCATCAGTTCCAAACTCATTTTACTAGATCAGCTTTACCTTGATAGCAAAGCCAGACAAAGACATCACAAGAAAAGAAAAACTACTGGCCAATATCCCAATATTTTACATATATATATATATATATATATATATATATATATATATATATATATATATGTAAAAATTCTCAACAGGAAATTGAATTCAACAGCACATTAAAAGCCTCTTACAGGCTTGGACTTTGTCAAGATGGTGGAGTAGGGAGACCCTGAGCAAACCTCTGCCCATAGGCACACCAAAATTACAGTGATTTACAGGG